GAAGGCCATAACCGTCTCTCTATGGCTGGGGAAAGTACAGGAGGTCAGCACTACCACCAAACTGAGCGATGCTGGCAAAGAGGAGGTGTGGCCAGCAAGACCTGGGGATTAATCGATGGAGCACATCTTCTTAGCGGGCTCTAACATTTGAAATCCCTTGAGAGAAACCGTGAGGGTGGACAGCAATTAATATCACCCTCTGGGACTTCATTTTGGAGTGGAGGTGGTCAGACTGGCACAGTGCGGAGTTGTGACCAGTGCCTCTCTGTCCCAGGTTTTCCAAATTGGGACCAATTTATATGGTGGAAGAAGAATTTTTAAAAGTAAATATTATGGGCCAGATCCTCAGCTGGTATGAATTGACTGCACTGGAACTACACCACTTTACACCAGCTAAGGATCTGGCCTGTAGACACGAGCTGAAAATAGCAGGTCAATACTGAACATCTTGCTCCTGAGAAAAATGTCTCCTTCCTGAGAAGTCATTTTATTCAAATATATTATAGTAGTACACAACACCCAAACTGTACAAATACAAAATGGATGAGGAGCTATGTATTTTGCTTACTCCCCAGCACATTTTATTACTGAGTCTCCTACAGGACACACTGTTTAAGATTCTTAATTGATAAAAGTAATTTCAGTACCATTCAGCATAATGAAACAGACTTTGCTCATGATCAGCATGAACAATGTGGAGAACCTGAGAGGAAAATATCCTTCAGCATGAAGGTTTCTGCCTCTTTGTGAATTGGGTACAAATATAATAGTGAATTAGTGATTAGGTGATTAGGTCACAGGGTGAAGATTAAACATGATATAGGAAGAGCAAGGCTCTCATCCTGTCGGCAGACTGTACAGGCAGAGATCCTGGAGGATGTGTTGCTTCCTGGCTGAGGTGCACAGGGGCATTTGGAACTGATGGGGAAGAAAGGAAGGAGGTCATAATGAAGATTATCCCACTGACACCATCTGTGAGGACAGAAACCAGAACTGGAAGGAATAGCCATTGCTCCGGAGCTGGCAAGATGGAGATAAGCAAAGCAGCAAGCAATAAAGGGATCAGCATGTTTTAATAGCAATAAAAGCAGCTGGGGGATAGGTCTTTGGGGAGGCCAGTGTTCAGTGTAGGGGACTGAGGGAGGGTCTGGGCTCAATTTGTGATTAAGATCTTGCTTGTGACAGAAATGCCTACTTTCCCACTCCTCACTTAATTCTATAGTTTGATTTTATTATCCTTTGCTCTCTCCCTGATTGTGTCTCATATGAGTCTGCTACAGTTCTGGGCCTTCTAGCACAAAGTCCCCTTGTAATTCCCTATGCTATAATATCCTCTGCCACATTCAAAAGGCTTGACTAATAGGAATTGTGCAATAATGTAATAATAAGGATGGAGTGTGTAGCAAAAATTCAGCAGAAATACAGCTGACTTAGAGAATCAACTCCTGGAACTGGAGTATGTGAAACAGGGAGTCTGTAGGTGGGTGCAGACAGAGCTAGCGTTGCTGATCTGGGAAAGACACTGTTCTGCTCAGGTGTATCTTAAAGGCTAATTTTTATATTCTTTTTCTTCTTTGAAATGTGATTTGGAAACAGCAGCCTCAGAAACAGCCCTCAGCTGAATTCAAATGTTAATCTAAAATGTAGTATTTGCTGGGAAGATTGCTAGATCACAATGATTGCTAGATCCTCAACATTTGCATTGTATTACTGCTTCTACCAATGATTATGAACGCCACCCTCTGAGGTGTTATCAACTTCAATGGGAGCTGATAATGCTCAGCACCTCACAGGACTGGGTGTTAGGGTATGTCTACACTACAAAATTAGGTTGATTTTATAGAAGTCGATTTTTACAAATCGATTTTATACAGTCGATTGTGTATGTCCCCACTAAGCGCATTAAGTCGGCAGAGTGCGTCCTCACTACCATGGCTAGCATCGACTCACGGAGCGGTGCACGCAGTCTCCACTGCCCATTGGAATTCTGGGTTAAGCTCCCAATGACAAAAACATTGTCGCAGGTGGTTTTGGTCATCACTCTCCCCTGCCTCCCTCCCTCCCTCCCTCCCTCCCTCCCTCCCTCCATGAAAGCAACTGCAGACAATCATTTCCCACCTTTTTGCCTGGGTTACCCCTGCAGACGCCATAGCATGGCAAGCATGGAGCCCGCTCAGCTCACCGCTGCTGTTGTGAGCATTGTAAACACCTCGTGCATTATACTGCAGTATGTGCAGAACCTGGCTAAGAGACGGCAGCATGAGGATGATTGTGATCAGGACATGGACACAGACATTCCTGAAAGCACGGGCTGTGGCAATTGGGCCATCATGGCGGCAGTGGGGCTGGTTGATATAGTGGAATGCCGATTCTGGGCCCAGCAAACAAGCACAGACTGGTGGGACTGCATAGTGTTGCAGGTATGGGATGATTCCCAGTGGCAGCGAAACTTTCGGATGCGTAAGGCCACTTTCCTGGAACTCTGTGAGTTGCTTTCCCCCACCCTGAAGGGCAGGAATACCAAGATGAGAGCTGCCCTGACTGTTGAGAGGCAAGTGGCAATAGCACTGTGGAAGCTTACAACGCCTGACTGCTACCAGTCAGTTGGGAATCAATTTGGACTGGGCAAATTTACTGTGGGGACTGCTGTGATTCAAGTAGCCAATGCAATCACTGACGTTCTGCTATCAAGGGTAGTGACTCTGGGAAATGTGCAGGTCATAGTGGATGGCTTTGCTGCAATGGGTTTCCCTAACTGTGGTGGGGCGATAGACGGAATGCATATTCCTATCTTGGCACCAGACCACCTTGCCAACCAGTACGTAAACCGCAAGGGGTACTTCTCAATAGTGCTGCAAGCACTGGTGGATCACAAGGGACGTTTCACCGACATCAACGTGGGATGGCCGGGAAAGATGCATGACGCTCGCATCTTTACGAACTCCCGGCTGTTTGAGCAGCTGCAAGAAGGGACTTATTTCCCAGACCAGAAAATGACTGTTGGGGATGTTGAAATGCCAATAGTTACTCTTGGAGACCCAGCCTACCCCTTGCTCCCATGGCTCATGAAGCCATACACAGGCAGCCTGGACAGTAGTAAGGAGCAGTTCAACTATAGGCTGAGCAAGTGCAGAATGGTGGTAGAATGTGCCTTTGGATGTTTAAAAGCTCGCTGGTGCTGTTTGCTGACTAGGTTAGACCTCAGCGCAACCAATATTCCCATTGTTATTACTGCTTGCTGTGTGCTCCATAATATCTGTGAGAGTAAGGGGGAGATTTATTGTGGGGTGGGAGGTTGAGGCAAATCACCTGGCTACCAATTTTGAACAGCCAGACACTTGGGCGATTAGAAGAGCACAGGTAGGCGCGCTGCGCATCAGAGAGGTTTTGAAAACTAGTTTCATGACTGGCCAGGCTATGTTGTGACAGTTGTGTGTGTTTCTCTTTGATGCAAACCCGCCCCCTTTGTTGATTTTAACTCCCTGTAAGCCAACCATCCCACCCTCCCTTCGATCACAGCTGGCAAAGGAAATAAAATCACTATTGTTTTGAAACTATGCATTTTTTCTTTATTAATTAAAAAAAAAGGGAGAAACTGATAAGGTATCCCGGTTGGGGTGGGGTAGGGTCGGGTAGGAGAGGAGTGGAGGAGGGAAGGACAAGGACAAGGTGGGGTAGGGTCGGGTAGGAGAGGAGTGGAGGAGGGAAGGACAAGACATTGCTTATTGTAGCCACACTACAAATGCAAACTGAATGACAGCCTTCTGTTGCTTGGGCCATCTTCTGGAGTACAGTGACTGGGTGCCCGGAGCCTCCCCCCCACGTTCTTGGACGTCTGGGTGAGGAGAATATGGAACTTGGGGAGGAGGGCAGGCGGTTGTACAGTGAATGCAGTGGCGGACTGTGCTCTTGTTGGCTTTCCTGCAGGTCCACCAGACTCCTGAGCATGTCCGTTTGCTCCCACTTAGCCTCGGCATTGCAGCCCGCCTCTTCTCATCGCGCTCACTTAATGTGACCTAACATGGCTAAATTCGACCTAACCCTGTAGTGTAGACCAGGGCTTAGTTATCTTACATTATTCTCAACCTATTGTACTTCTCTGGCCTCCATTACTATACTATCTGAGCACCTCACAATCAGGGCCGGCTCCAGGCACCAGCGCAGCAAGCAAGTGCTTGGGGGCGGCCAACGGAAAGGAGCAGCACGTCTGGCTCTTCAGCAGCGGATCCCTCAGTCCCTCTCAGAGGGAAGGACCTGCTGCTGAATTGCCACCGCAGAATGAAGCAGCGATGGTAGAGCTGCCGCCGATCACAGCTTCCCCCCCCCCGCCACTTGGGGCGGCAAAAACGCTGGAGCCGGCCCTGCTCACAATCTTTATCTTCACACCACAAATACTATTATCCCCATTTTAACAGCTGGGGAATTGTGGCACAGAGAGATCTGCCCAACGTCACAGAGGAAGTCAATGGTAAAACAAAGAATTGAACCATTGTCTCCCAAGTCCCAGGCTAGTAGCCTAACCACTGAACCATTCTCTCTTTCAGACTTGTACTCTCCCTTTTACCTAGTGAATGCTAGCTGAACTGTAGCAATTGGGGATTGCCCTGCTTATTGCTGTAGCCCTTGCCACGGTTCCACTGCTGAGTTATTAAATATGCAGATGCCCATTTTCAGAGGTAGGGTGAGCTGCAGAAAAGGAAAAAGCAGCTAATGTGACAATAAAAATATACAGATTAGCTCTGCATGGTACAAAAAGCAATGATAAGAGAGGTCACCTGGTAGGGTGGATAATGGAGGTTATTTGTTCTGCAACACTGTGCATTGAAAGGTGTCTGTGACTGATGGCAGTTTGGTGCATGGGCTAAATATCTGTGCCTCAAGCAGCTGCATGAAGCCCCAAGCAAAGGGCTGTACTACATGTTTCACAGGTGGTTTATCTGAACCCACAAATAAATGTAACAAGTATGTATGGTCCTGATGTGTTTTTTCTGTTTCTGCAGGATGGATGACATCCAGCTGTGCAAGGACATCATGAACCTTAAACAGGAGCTGCAGAATTTAGTAGCAATTCCAGGTAATTTCTATGCCAACCTTACAAAGTGCTTTGAAAAACAGAAACCCTTCTAGGGGCCAGATACCTGCAACCCCAAGCCAGGTGCAATCCCTCTCCCTGTCATTTCCATCCTTCTCCATGTGTTTCCTGCACTTTGTTCTCTTTTCTAATGTCTTTATTTTCTCTCAGGTTCTGTTTGGTCTTCCTTCTGCTCTCTATTTTTCTGAAATTCTTTGCTGTATTTCATCTGCTCCTTCTGATGGCCAGGACTGCAAATATCACTCCAACAAGCTACATTATTCCAAGATTCTTTCAATCCCTTGAAAATCTTATGAGAACCACTGTTGACACACTATGTTGACACATTACGTGAGGGAGAGTGTGCTGAAGAATGGAAAATGTTGATAGATATGGAACACCTGGTGGTGGTCTGATGGGAAATTAAACCTTGGATATGGGTTTTTGTGTGTCTCCTAGAGATAATAATGAATTGTTGCTCCCTATAAGCCAAGCTATAACCTAAGAAAACAGCTGAAAGTATGGGGCTTTCCAGAGAGGGCTGAGGAAAAGGTCTAGTCCATGTTTACCTGAATCTTTAGGGCCTGATCCTAAATTCTCAACAGCTTCATTGCTCCAAGCATGTGCAGAATCCTCCTTGGGCACAGTCCTGGAGTCCTTACTCAGTAAAAACTCCCACTGAAATCAATTGATAACTTTCTTTTAGTAAGGACTTCATAGGTTGGCCTCCTTGTTATTTTAGCTCAGCTACTCCTCCTGTTACTTTTCAAAATACTGAGCCACTAGCTTATTCCAGAAAAGGAACCTAGGGCTTGACCCTACAAGCATTTACTTCTGTGATAAGCCCTGGGTATGCTCTGTTGACTCCAGTGTATCTGTGACCAAAAGCAGAATTTGGCCCATTCCCATTGATTTTACTGTACACCCCATCTTATCAATTCATGCCAAACCTTCAATTCCTCACTGTATCCTGGCTATACATTCTGTGAATCTGTTAGTCAACATAGTGTTATTCAGCAGCTGAGATTGGGGAGTGTACGTTATTTTTACCACCTTTTGAACAACCTTTATTCATTCTCTAATAAACTTTTTTAAAGGATTGTGCAATTGCTGACATAAGCATGAGTGCAAAATCAGTGCCACACTCGCACATACAGAACCAAAGAACCTGAAATACTCTTCGCCTGTTCCTAGTCACTGATCTTTCACTCCACAATGAAAGCTTTGCAAGGTTTACCTCTCTCTCACCCATGAATCTACTGTAGGCAGAGGTGATCTGGTTGCCAAGAGGGATGGCAAAGGGTTTTGATCCAGAAAATGAGATTAGTTCCACTGCAGTACATGGGAACTATTAGAAGGGTGGGGGTTTACCAGAGCATGGCTACTCGTCTTTTAATAAAGTAATGAAATGGCCTTGTATCATTCAGATGAACATAATTTCCTCTGGGACAGAACTTTGGCTAAGAAGTTATAATTAGATATGAAATCTTCCATGAGCTTTTGAAAAAGAACAATACAGCCCACCTGGAATGGCTTAAATAAAAATTAACAACCTCAGGTGGAGCTGAATCCCGTGTTTGCATTTTCAGTTAATCTTAAATAAAAAATGTAGTAATACTAATTAGGATTGTGTCCAGTGGATACTAGAACTCAGTGAAGCAAACCGTTCCTGTAATGACATGAGATATTTTAATAAGAATAATGTGTGCATTGACAGATGTTTTCTTTACCATAACAATTTTTCCTGTTAACCCCATGCTGTATTATTAAATGGAGCAGATTTGCTTTCCCTTGGCAGGCTCTGGGATAATGCATCAGTGTATTCATGACCCTGTGAACACTGTGTACACTGGATCTAGATTCCACAGCAAGGTTCTCTACGTAAGTTCTGCAGCATAGTGTAATGCCATGTCCCTGTGTGGGTCATCAGTAGAGGGGACTGAACCTAAGACTTCTGCATCTAAATATATGAGTGTCTACTGCCCAAGCTAAGAGACTCATCTTTGTCAGCCAAGAGTGTAACAGGCTTTCATATGACACCACTAGAAGGAGACAGAGTGCCACATTGTGTGAGGGCAGGTTACAACAGGTTTGCTGAATTCAGCAATGAGCTAGAAACTCTAAGGAAGGGTGAAATGCCTAGAAACCCGTTAAGAAAATCAGCCTTTTATTTTTTAAATCAAATTATATGCAACAATATAAAATTGACACTGAGGTCAGAATGGTTTTAAATCAGCCTTGCACTCACTTTGTACAGGTGGAAATGACTTGGCAAGGTGCAAAGTCACAGAGAATCAGGGGTGAGAGGAAAAATCTTGCCCCCTTGTGTGCCAGCTGAAAGTGGAGTTGTCTGGAACTCAATAGCCCATCTTGATTGTTAGAGCATAATTGTAATCCTGCATGGGGATTTCTGGCAGCACAAAATCTCCCATAAGTGGAGAGAGTCTCTTCCCTCCTCCCCCGTTTGAACTCAATCCTCTTGGTCCCTTGGTGTAGGGGACATTTTGGAGTAGGAAAGGGTGGCTGGCACACACACTGCAACTATCTTTGCTGGTGTAATGCCCACTGGTGGGATGGTGGAGGTGTTACACAAGAGCTCTGCTTAGAGCAGGACTGAGGTTGCTCTAAGTTTTATCAGACTGAAGTGGTTCCCTGACTGTCCCCAGGATCATACGTGTGAGGGGAAGAAGAGGTAGCAGAAAGTCACTGTTGCCACGTACATCCCCAGTCTGCCAAGCACTCCTGTGGTGCGCCTGGGATTTTGGCCCCTCAGGCAGTGCTTATATGAGAGGTGGGGAAAGAGAAAGGTTTGCAGTACCAGCAAAAAACAGTTTTTTAAAATTGAGCTGGTTTCCTGAGGGACACTCTTTAAACACCGTCTTACCAAAGCTGCTGCTCCCATTTTAAGCACCTGGGGCCTAAGCATAAGTTATTAAAAACTCTTAAATAGACTTCGAGAACAACACTGATTCACAATTGTTGCTTATATGTACAAACATGCCTCATACAAGCCAATAAATATAACTACGCCAGAAGTATGTACAGGGCCTATAATACCTTTCAGAAATAATTTACTTTTATCCAACCATTAGGGCGGGTTTTGAGTCTTCTAGTCATTTGTCCTTTATTTTTCCACCTATCACTGTGAGAAAAACTTCAAAGCTAGCAAACAAGGTAAAAGAGAAGAAAAAACCTTGCCAGAAATGAAACAGCAGGTCAGTCATAAAATAGGAAGCTGATCATATCTACATTTTCCCCCTCTGAGCCCAGTAGACAAATAGCAGCATTTCTCAGTGGGATAAGAACCTTTCCACATTTCATGCACATCTAACAAAATACATTCATGTTTCTTCTTTTTTTCCTTCTTGACATTATCTCAGCTACTTTTGCGCCAAACAATTCCTCCAATATTTTGCAAACACACGTATGGGATGAATAGTACCCAATGGGGAATAATTCAAGCAGAGTTTATTTTAAGGTAACCTTTGCAGAGGATTGTGAATGCTGCATAGATAACAAGTAAGAATGATCTACTCTTACTAGAAAAAAGAACAGGAGTACTTGTGGCACCTAAGAGACTAACAAATTTATTAGAGCATAAGCTTTCGTGGACTACAGCCCACTTCTTCGGATGCATATAGAGTGGAATAAATATTGAGGAGACATATATACTCACACACACACATACAGAGCGCATGAACAGGTGGGAGTTGTCTTACTAACTCTGAGAGGCCAATTAAGTAAGAGAAAAAAATCTTTTGAGGTGATAATCGAGATAGCCAAGTACAGACAGTTTGATAAGAAGTGTGAGAATACTTACAAAGGGAG